CTCAGCCAGTGTTTTGGACTTCAACTCCCACAATTCCTAACAGCCTCAGGCCCTTTCCTTTCCCCCCTCAGCTGGTGTTTTGGACTTCAACTCCCACCATTCCTGACAGCCTCAGGCCCTTTCCTTTCCCCTTCTCAGCCAGTGTTTTGGACTTCAACTCCCACAATTCCTGACAGCCTCAGGCCCTTTCCTTTCCCCTCTCAGTTGGTGTTTTGGACTTCAACTCCCACAATTCCTGACAGCCTCAGGCCCATTCCTTTCCTCTCTCAGCCAGTGTTTTGGACTTCAACTCCCACAATTCCTAGCAGTCTCAGTCCCTTTCCTTTTCCCCTTCTCAGCTAGTGTTTTGGACTTCAACTCCCACAATTCCTGACAGCCTCAGGCCCTTTCCTTTCCTCTCTCAACCACTGTTTTGGACTTCAACTCCCACAATTCCTGACAGCCTCAGGCCCTTTCCTTTCCTCTCTCAGCCAATGTTTTGGACTTCAAGTCCCACAATTCCTAACACCCTCAGGCCCTTTCCTTTCCCTTGTCAGCCAGTATTTTGGACTTAAAGTCCCACAATTCCTAACACCCTCAGGCCCTTTCCTTTGCTCTCTCAGCCAATGTTTTGGACTTCAAGTCCCACAATTCCTAACACCCTCAGGCCCTTTCCTTTCCTCTCTCAGCCAATGTTTTGGACTTCAGCTCTCACAATTCCTAACACCCTCAGGCCCCTTCCTTTCCCCCCTCAATCATTGTTTTGGACTTCAACTCCCACCATTCCTCACAGCCTCAGGTCCCACAAATAGATCTAACGCTTAAGCGGCTGAGGGGGGAAAGGAAAGGGCCTGAGGCTGTGAGGAATGGTGGGAGTTGAAGTCCAAAACACCTGGAGGGCCCAAGCTGGCCCATGCCTGGTTATAGACTCATATAACCCTGTTCAAAGAATATAATTTGGATTTTGTATGGCAGTGTAGATCCATCCCTAAAGGACTTTGCCTGGAATCACACTTTGGTATTATTTTGCTTTTCTGTCTAGGTCTGGCGGATTAATCAGAAGAGAAAAGAAGGATCATAAAGGACTAGAACAGAAAGAGGAGAAGGTTAAGAAGAACCCACCAGGACAGCTTCAACCTGAGGATTTATGGCTGACCGGCTAGGATGGCGGGCACCTCAAGAGACCAAAGGGCAACTGGGCAACGGGACGCAACAGCACTGGGAATCCCAATGGCAGGAGTTCTTGAAGACTATGCAGCCCGTTCACACCGGAGAGGAGAATATTGTCACCTCGGAGGCCGTCCCGTGGGACGATGGCAAAGCCTTCCTGGCCTCCTTCGAGCAAGTAGCCAAAGCCTGTCGGTGGCCAAAGGAAGAGTGGGCGGCCCGGCTGTTGCCCGCTTTGAGTGGAGAAGCAGAGCAGGCCTTCCGGAGCCTGGAAACCAGAGATAGGGAGGATTATTGGAAAGTCAAGGTGGCCATCTTGCGAGCGGAGGCCCTGAAAATGGAGGCACAGCGTCAGCACTTCCGGCAGTTCTGCTGCCAGGAGGTTGAAGACCCTCGAGGGATTTACGCCCAGCTCCAGGAGCTTTGCAGTCGGTGGCTGAAGCCGGAGAGACGCAGCAAAGAGCAGATCCTGGAGCTGCTCATTCTGGAGCAGTTCCTGGCCAGTCTTCCCCAAGACCTCCAAGCCTGGATCCGAGCCGGAGGACCGGACAGTTGTTCTCAGGCCGTGGCCCTTGTGGAGGATTTCATGATGAGCCAGCAAGTGGATGAAACGGGAAAGTGGCAGGTGAGGATTTCCTATTTTGTCCATAACAGTGTGCAGCGTGATGGAACTCTTTCTGATCAAAGGCCTGGAAAGTGTGGATCCGTGTTTTGAATCACTGGGTTGTTGTAAGTTTTTCAGGCTGTCTAGCCATATTCTAGAAGCATTCTCTCCTGACATTTTGCCTGCATCTATGGCCGGCACCCTCAGAGGTTGTGAGGTGTGTTGGAAACTAGGAAAATGGGGTTTATATGTCTGTGGAAAGTCCAGAGTGGAAGAAAGAACTCTTGTCTGTTGGAGATGGGTGTGAATGTTTCAATTGGCCACCTTGATTAGCATTCAATGGCCTGACAGTTTTTAGGTGTGTCTTGTTACTTCCTGGGGGAATCCTTTGTTGAAAGGTGTTTAGCTGTCCCTGATTGTTTCTTGTCTGGAGTTCCCCTCCCCTACTGTTATAATTTTTGAGGGTTTTTTTTTAATACTGGTAAATAGTGATACCTTTGCTTTCCGATGGTTCATGGATGAAACTATTGTTGTTGTTCATTCGTTCAGTCGTTTCCGACTCTTTGTGACTTCATGGACCAGTCCACGCCAGAGCTCCCTGTCGGTCGTCACCACCCCCAGCTCCTTCAAGGTCAATCCAGTCACTTCAAGGATACCATCCATCCATCTTGCCCTTGGTCAGTGCCTCTTCCTTTTTCCTATTGAAACTATTACAGTGCATATGAAACTATTACAGTGCATAAAATTACTTTCAGGCGGTGTATTTGAAACATGGAGCTCCCGGTGGCGCAGTGGGTTAAACCTCTGAGCTGCTGAGCTTGTTGATCGAAAGGTTACAGGTTCAAATTCCGCTGTCAGCCCCAGCTTCTGCCAACCTAGCAGTTCAAAAACATGCAAATATGAGTATATCAATAGGTACTGCTCCAGTGGGAAGGTAATAGCACTCCATGTAGTCATGCTGGCCACATGACCTTGGAGGTGTCTACAGACTCTTCAGCTTAGAAATGGAGATGAGCACTAACCCCTGAGTAGGACACAACTGGACTTAATGTCAGGGGAAAACCTTTACCTTTACCTGCTTGAAACATACATGAATGCCATGTTTAGACTTGGGTCCCATCTCCAAGATATGGCATTACTGGGTTGTTGTGAGTTTTTCGGGCTGTCTGGCCACGTTCCAGAAGCATTCTCTCCTGATTTTTCACCTGCATCTATGACAGGCATCCTTTGTGAGGTCTGTTGAAAACTAGGAAAATTGGGTTTATATATCTGTGGAAAGTCCAGGGTGGGAGAAAGAACTCTTGTCTGTTGGAGATGGGTGTGAATTGCCTGGAGATGAGATTGCTCTTATTAGTTGGCGATCAGAGAGAATAGTGAGGATTCTTCCAGCACTGAGGAACCCTCGTTGTACATTTACACTGTTTTCTTGTGCAGCAGGTACCGGTGAACCTCAAGGAGACAGGTATGTCTTTGCACGTGCTGGATGAGACCCAGACGCAGCCTGAACAACAGACCATGTTTTGGCAAGTTCTGCAGGAGGACGCTGGGAGCCGACCTGCTTCAGGTAAGTATGTCTTCCACTGATGTTCAACAAGATCTGGCAGATTTTCTTTGAACTGGAAAAAAGTATGTTGAGGTATATAGAAAGAGGTCTTGTACATGTAATCAAAGCAAAAGTATACAGTAAATGGAAAAGCAAAAGTATACAAGCAAAAGCAGTGTGATGGAACCCTGGGAGTTGTAATTTGGCGAGGCACCAGCCCTCTTTGGCAGAGGAGGCTAAAGGTCTTGTAAAGCTACAACTCCCTGCATTGAGTGATGGCAGGTAAAGTATCATCAAACAGTGGAGACACACCCTATAACATACTCACTATAATATCCCACAGCTGAACACCAGTATAACAGATCCCTATATAATATATCACCAAATATCACGCCGCTGGACACCACTATAAAGGAATGTATGTGGTATCACACCCAGTGACACGAGGCTAGAGGCTTATTGATAATATGTCTGGGCAGGATAGTTCTTTCCTCAAAAATCCTACCCCCGTGCCTCCAATTTGGTAACGAGATGTAGATAGATATGTGTAATGATAGAATGAACACTGCTTGTCTTTTAGTCTTCTTTTGGTTTAAAGCTGCCACCAACCCAAGTTGCCTTAGGATTTTTAAAATGAGTTTTTGAGGTAAACTTTCCCCACTTTCACCAACACTGCTCTTCCCCTCGCTCCTAGAATGACTATTTGGATAAGAGGCCTTTCTGTAGTATCAGGATGTTAAAGTTACTGGAATTATCACAAAGGGTTACTGATAGATTGAGGAACGATAGAGACCTTTTTGAAAGTTAAATAGAAAAAGATTTATAAAAACAGACAACTAACTACTTCTGAGAGGCACAAAACGCTTGACTTGTTACAAAAGTTCCACAGCTTGATAGTTGCTAGAATGAGTTTCTTCACTTAGTTACAGTCAGAGCTAATCAAACAGATCTAGCTGCTAGTAACAAAAATCCCTCACTCTACTTCAGAGAAATAGTAATGAGTTTCTGACTAACCTATCCTAGGTAGTCCCCTGAGTTATCAGCTAACTCTTCCCAGAGTTCTTCCTGCTAACTAACTCAGTCTAGAGAGCTAATCTCTGTGCTGTCTCCCACAAGAAATCAGGTTGCTTTCTGACCTTTCTCCTGTCAGTTAATCTTACACACTCTCTCCCTGAAAACCCAGTTTCTAAAACACTTCTTCACTTACCAGCTCCCAGTTCTCAACTCACACGGAAGCTGAAATCTTTTCCCTCCTAAGACTTGGCCCCTCCCATCTGCTCTAGCCAATCCCAGGAGACTTCAAACTCCTTCCATCTTCTAGCTATCCTCACTCAAGATGGCTGCTTCCCTGGCATACACTCTAAAAATGGAGATTTGCCATACTGTTACCCAGGCTTCTTTTCCGGCCTACTAGGTAAGATTCACTACACACCCAAGAAGAGAGAACAAAAAGTCAGCAACAGGAATGTACAAGAAATCTGGTGAAAAGTATGTGAGTGAGATTATTTTCTCTCTCCCTTTTCTTCTTCTGTCCAGGTGAGAAGAGAATTCTGGTCAAGACAGAGGAGCGTGGCTTAGGGGACATTCATGTCAAGTTGGCAGAAGAACCTGCAGGAAACCTGCTTGTGGCAACTGATATTCCTGGTAAGAGGTGTGAGTTTAAGAGGTGAAAAGGGAAGGAGAGAGAAAATCCTCATAAATCAGTACTGTGTTCTAGAAGCATTCTCTTCTGACATTCTCTCAACTTCTGAGGATGGCAAGCATCCTCAGAAGTTGTGAGGTCTGAAGAACCATGTCTTTGAACTGCCAAGGATAAAGACATGCCACTACAAAAATATACAGTAGTCTCGCTTACCCAACCTTCACTCATCCAACGTTCTGTATTATCCAACTCAATCTGCCTCCCACCTGGAATAAAATCCAGGGTGGGAGAAAGAAAGAACCTTTGTCTGTTTTGGTGCTAAATTTGTAAATACAGTAATTACTATGTATTGAACTGCTTTTTCTGTCGAATTGTTGTAAAACATGATGTTTTGGTGCTTAATTTGTAAAATCATAATATAAATATAATAATAATATGATAATATAATATTTGTAAAATCATAATATAATTTGATGTTTAATAGGCTTTTCCTTAATCCTGCCTTATTATCCAACATTTTCGCTTATCCAACATTTTGCCGGCTTGTTTACGTTGGATAAGCAAGACTCTACTGAATTGGGTTAGCAGAGGATGGTTGTTTCTTTGAAGTTGAAATTGCAGTTCTAATTGCAGTTGCAGTTGCCCAAAACATATACACTCCCTTGAAAATAACAAACTTGAATCGGAAAATGACCTAGGAACTGATGAGGACTGAACATGAAGACATAGTTTAAATTTTTTTATTGTTCACCGTTTTTTATGTTTTTAAATGCATTGTGATGTTTTTTCTACTTTTATTAATGTAGAAATAAATCAATAAATGTATTATTTATTTACGGTATTTCTACCTCACTCATATCAGCCCAAAGGTAACTCAGAGCAGCGAACAAGTCGGCACAATTCAATGCCATATATAAAATACATATGGCATTGAATTGTGCTGACTTGTTAGCCGCCCTGAGTCGCCCTCGGGCTGATATGGGCGGGGTAGAAATACCGTAAATAAATAAATAAATAAATAAATAAACCTCTTAGTTAAAATATGCACTCAGAGATTTAAAAAAACCCAAAGTTGTCTTTGAAAAATAACGTATCTTGTTTACTCATAAACAATTTGCATTAATTCATTATACAGCCACATTACTTATTAATGTTCAGTTATAAATAGGATGTAGGTGTCTCTCTGTGTTGAGTACACAGGACATCATTCTTTATCATTAGTCCATAGTCTTAGGTATAGCTGTACTCACTGAAGTCCATAACCATACTTCTAAAGCAGCGTTTTTCAGCCTGGGGGTTGGGACCCCTGGGGGGGGGTCGCGAGGGGGTTTCAGAGAGATTTCCAAAGACCACCAGAAAACATAAATTTCTGATGGTCTTGGGAACCCCTTTGGCAGAGAAGGCTGAAGATCTCACTGCCTGTCCTTCTCTTCCTTTTTGGAAACAGACAGTGAATCCTCCCACCAAAAGCCGTCCTCCGTTGTGATTGGCCGGCCTCTCAGCCAAGGGGAGGGCTGTTTCTGAGACTCCAAGCAGGGAGGGGAGAGCAGGCATGCCAGCGTGGTGCGCATGTGCAGACGAGGAAGAGCGAGCGAGGCTGGAGGGAGGTTCGCACCATCGAGTCCCTTCAAGCCATGGGGTTCTGTGTAGAAAGTTTGGCCCAATTCTATCGTTGTTGGGGTTCAGAATGCTTTTTGATTGTAGGTGAACTATAAATCCTAGCAGCTACAACTCCTAAATGACAAAATCAACACACACACACCCGAAAAACCCCCCCACCAGTATTCAAATTTGGGTGTATCGTGCATTTGTGCCAAATTTGGTCCAGTGGATGAAAATACATCCTGCATATCAGATATTTACATTAGAATTCATAACAGGAGCAAAATTCCAATTATGAAGTAACAACAGAAATAATGTTATGGTTGGGGGTCACCACAACATGAGGATCTGTATTCAGGGGTCGTGGTGGCATTAGGAAGGTTGAGAAACACTGCTCTAAAGCAGGGGCCCACAAACTTTTTAAACAGAGGGCCAGATCACAATCCCTCAAACTGTTGGAGGGCCAGATTATAATTTGGAAAAAAAAATGAATGAAATCCTATGCACAGTGCATGTATCTTATTTGTAGTGCAAAAAACACTTTAGAACAATATAATAATTAAAATGAAGGACAATTTTAACAAATATAAACTTATTAGTATTTCACTGGGAAGTGTGGACTTGCTTTTGGCTGATGAGATAGGATTGTTGTTGTTGTTGTGTGCTTTCAAGTCGTTTCAAACTTAGGTTGACCCTGAGTGAGGGCCGGATAAATGGCCTTGGAGGGTCGTATTTGACTCCCGGGCCGTAGTTTGAGGACCCCTGCTCTAGAGATTCTTCTCTACTGAAGTCCAAAGAGCAACTTATATCCACCTCCATTGAGGTGGAAAACAGACACATCTGTCTCCAATGAGGTGTTCAACAGACATCCACCTCCAATGAGCAGACTGAATACAAAATGGAGTCCGGAGTCTGAACATGCTCAGTACAATCATATGTCTGTAACCCCTCCCACACCAAAAAAGTAAGTTAAACTGGCAAATCAACATACACATAGAATGCAGGTTAGCAAATATATACATTACCAAATCAATAGTGAAAGGCTTGGGAAGTTGCTATTTCCAACAGTCTCTCTCATTCCAATTGTCTTTTTCAGGTGATAGGAAGGAACTTAAGCTCAAAGTAGGAAATCCTTACCGTGCAGGAGATCAGCCGGAGGAAATATCTCAGGCGATCCCATGTATAATCGAGAGCGATGCGCCGATGACAACAGAGGTCGAAGAACCGAGGTGTACTTCCAGAAAGCAGCAGTGGAGGAAACCAGTGAATGGGAACCACGAGTCCATTCTCCCAGGTGCCAGGAGTGAGATTTTGGAGCATCCCCGATCCAAAACACCCCTGGCCTCCAAATATGGGAGACGAATCGAATGCCCCGATTGTCGGAAAACCTTTTCCTCGACAAAAATCCTCAAGATCCACCGGCGGATTCACACGGGCGAGAGGCCGCACGAGTGTTCCCATTGTGGGGAGCGTTTCACCCAACACGGGCACCTGCGACGCCACCAGAGGCGGCACACGGGAGAGAGTCCCTATGAATGCCCCGAATGCGGGAAGAGCTTTTCGCGGAGAGACACCTTGCTTGAGCACCAAAGGATCCATACTGGGGAGAGGCCCTACAAGTGCGCCTACTGCGGAAAGGGCTTCTCCAAGAGTATCACTCTGAAGCGCCACCAGATACTTCACATCGAGGAGGCCTATTTTGGACGTCTCCAATATGGAGAACACTTTGGTCACATGGGCGAATTGGTTAGCCAACACAGAATGCACATTGCACATTAACTGTGTTCCATCCTGCAGTTTTCGGTTTCAATTGCCTTTTTGCAAATCTGGTGCTGAACAGCTCTTCTCCTGGAACATGAATTCATCTATCAACTATCGGCAAATAGTATAGATTTCAGAGCAATAAGGAAATGTTTGGTGCTGAATATAGGTGTCATTCCACTCTAAGACTTCAATCTGTGCCAAACATTGATGGCTATAAGACAGTGATTCACAACCTTTTTTTGACCAGGGACCACTTGACCAAGGACCATTTGAACCGGGACCACTCTGCAACATTAGTACCAAAATCAGTTTTTGGTCAACTTTAAATTCAGTTTGGTTATTTGTAATGTTGATTCAGAAAATTGCATTAGATAGACCACATCAGCTTGAGCTTCTGATAGAGAACATATGCCATCCAGATGCTTGTGTGTTCTTAAGATGTAAAGTACACATCTGTGTTTTGGATGGATTAGGAATCAGCTTTTTTTATTTATCATGTCAAGAGCAGACCAAACAGTTGTATTGCATTCTTTAACAAACAAACAAACAAACCACAAGGTTTGCAAGCTTGGTAGTTGATTAAATGTCCTTTGACCAGTATCTGGCCACTTAGAGTGCCTCTGGTGTTGCCGCAAGAAGGTCCTCCATTGTGCATGTGGCAGGGCTCAGGTTGCATTGCAGCAGGTGGACAGTGGTTTGCTCTTCTCCACACTCGCATGTCGTGGATTCCACTTTGTAGCCCCATTTAAGTTGGCTCTGCATCTCTGGTGCCAGAGCGCAGTCTGTTCAGCGCCTTCCAAGTCGCCCACTTCTGTGTCCCAAGGGGGGAGTCTCTCATTTGGTATCAGCCATTGGTTGAGGTTCTGGGTTTGAGCTGCCACTTTTGGACTCTCGCTTGCTGAGGTGTTCCAGCGAGTGTCTCACTAGTTTTCCCTGTAATAGGAAGTAAAAGCACCTAAAGCTTCAGAGAGCTTCTGTTCAACCATCTCAAAGCTCCCTGCTTGGGCGGTGATAGCACAATCGTCAGCATAGATGAAACTCTCTGTCCCTTCTGACAGAGACTGATAATTTATGTAAATATTAAACCTTGAAGGAGCAAGCATGCTTCCCAGAGGGATGCCGTTCTTTTGTTTTCGCCATCTGCTTCTCTGGCCCTCACACCAGAAGCAACTTGCAGCATGGAAGTGATGCTGCATCATTTTTGCCCACCATTTTGAGAAGGACTCAGTTGAAAACAGTGGTGTTTGGGAAATGACGTTAGAGATGAACGAGAAGAGGGTTCTGTATAGTTTTGGGATGAACATTACCAAAAAAATGGATTTTTTTTTTAAGTTGGACCAATAAGAGGATTGAAAGGGACATGTGGCAGGAAGCTTCATGGGCCACAAAAGTGGGATTCAAGGGCTGCGTGTGGGCCATGAATCGCCGCTTCCCCTCCACATTAAATTAGACGTAGCCAATAGGAGTTAAATGGATAATTATTGTAGAAAGGACTAGGGAAGCCCATTCCTTACAGTGGCTTTATGTATTTGTACCTAGCTTGTATTTTTGTTACGGGTTTTTACAGTTTGAAAGTCCTTAAACTTTGAAATGTGTTGTGTTTTGCAAGCAGGTCCCTCTCCAGGGCTTCTTTGGAGATGTGGGACTCTTTTGGGAAATTGTATATGTATTGTGTTCGGTTATGGAATTTGGTGTATTGTTTTTAATCTGATTTAGATTTGCAGAGCCTCCAAATGCATTGTAATGCTGTTTGTAACATTCCTTTATAAAGTAGACCAAGAAAAGGTAGCACGAGTGCTATTTCTTCTCTTCTTTGCACCATTTCTAATTTCATGGATGTATGTTGATTTGTTTGTACCACAAAGGCTCCTCTGTGGCTTGATGGATCGGGATCAAACATGGCACACAATATACCCTTCATTGTCCACCTTTAAATACCATACATACTCAAGTATAAGCCAACTCGTATATAAGCCAAGGCACCTAATTTTACCACAAAAAACTAGGAAAACATTTTGGCTCGAGTATAAGCCGAGGGTGGGAAATGCAGAAGCTACTGGTCAATTTCAAAATAAAAATAGATAGCAATAAAATTACATTAATAGAGGCATCCGCAAATTAAATGTTTTTGAATATTTACCGTATTTCATAGAAAAACAGTGAACTAGCTCTGTAAGTGGAAAAGTAGGGTCAACAACAATATGGTATCAACAATAACATAATAATAATAATAATAATAATAATAATAATAATAATAATAATGTAATTTGTATCCTGCCCTATCTCCCCATGGGGATTCAGGCCAGCTTCCAACATATTAGCAGGCAAACATTCAATTTCTATATAAACAATGCAGAGCTAGATATAGATATATAATATAATTATATATACTAATTTCACATATGCATTTCCCCCTGAAACATTTTCAAAGCCTCTCTATATATGTGCATTTTCCCCTGCACTATTTGCAAGCCTTATATATCTATGTTTATATCTATCTAGACATCTCTCTCTGTATGTGTGTGTGCATTTCCCCCCTATAATATTTGCAAGCCCTATATATCTATATTCATATCTATCTAGACATGTCTCTATATATATTTGTGTGTGCATTTCCCCCCTATAATATTTGAGTCGCCTTATCAGGCTGAAAAATGCGGTATAGAAATAAAGCAAATAAATAAATAAAATAAATAAATATATATATTCATATATATCTTACTTACTTAGGTGATCCCTCCTTCTCCGAGGATGATGGTATCTAGACATCTCTATATATATAAATTATACCTATATAGGATTTGCAAAGACTTGCAAATGTGAGGGAAAAATTCATATATAAAAATATTTATATATATACACATATACATACAGATATAGATATATAGATACCTCCATATAGTTACTGATATCTATATCTATATAGGATTTGCAGATACTTACAAACATGTGAGGGGAAATTCATATGTAAAATTAATGTAGATAGATAGATAGATAGATAGAGATATGTAGGTACATAGGGATTGCAAAGGCTTGCAGGAGGAAATGCCTATATATCTGTAGGAGATATTAACAAATATTTAAGGGAAAATGTTTTTATAAGATTAATGGACATTCCTGACTTGCAAGGGCTTCTCTTCCTCTCCAGCGAGCGAGGGAGAATTTGGAAAAGCAAAACACACTGTTAAGGGAAGGGAAGAAGAGAAAGAAATATATCATATTGCAAGCAATGGCCCCCAGGCTTTGCTGCCGGGCTTGACTCCATTATAAGCCAAGGGAGGCTTTTTCATCCCAAAATAAGGGCTTATCTTAGAGTATATACGACAATTGAAGGGTTGAAACTGTTGCTAGGTGAAGTGTCCCTCTGAAGTCACTGGAAAAGAAAGGGAGGGAAGAAGATGGCTGCTACTTGGTGACAGGTATGTGGGAAAGTAGGTGTCGTGACCTTATTTCCTGGTTTGTGTGAAGCCAGGAAATTAGACCAGGCCTTAGACCTGCCCTGTGTAGATTTAAAGTCTGGGAGAGGGTTGCCATGTTGTTGAAAACAATGCAGGGGAGGGGGCAGGGTGAGGTGTGAGGGAAATAAACTGTCAGTTGGAATTTTGTTGCATTCCCTAATGCATGCTTTTGAATTAAAGCCTTCCAACTTTGTGAGGTAATTTCTCCGCCAGAAAGCTACAGCTCCGGACAGAAGGAATGAAAAACGTGGTAGAAAGGGAGGAAAAGAAAGAGAAAAAAGTATAATGGGAGGAAGGGAAGAGAAAGGAAGAAAAGGGACACAAAAGCGAGGGAAGAAAGAAGGAAGGATAAAAAGAAAGAAAAGGTGAAGATGTAAAGAAAAGCAAGGGAAAAGGGAAAGAAAAGTACAGAGAGAGGGAGTAGATGTATGAGGAAAACACAAGAAGAAAAGAAAGCCATAAACAAAAGGCAAACCTGGTAATGCTGATTATATATGCTAGTGTTTTAATATTTCTTGAGATTAAGACATTCAGGAGGCAGTTTCGTCATAGGAATAATCACCATCAACACAAAGAATGCTCGACAAAAGAGTTGATTTATTTTAAGAAATGGAACAGAGTCCTTATCTCATCCCAGCTCCAAAAAGTGTGTGCAAAGCTATGTAGAAAAGTGTTTTTAAAAGCCCAGTTAAACTTTCCAAGGGAAAATAAAACATTAATTATAATATCCACATATGCCCACATGTTTGGTTACAAAACAAGAGTATGAGACAAACATCGGGATTTATCAAACCAGACTGTTGTCTCGCAGCAATCGCAACACGCAAATGAAAAGACACCGATATGTGAACCATCACTTTCTCAACTTAGGTGCAATATCAGGCCACTTTGGTGAAGCATATTCCTGCAATCTGTATTCTGCACTCCTTTGCTCGATTCACCTCCACTGCAAAATTACACAGTTTCAACTTTCTGCTGCTGCTAATTGCAACCCACTGTGACAATGCAATTCCGTAATTATGGCAAAACAAAATGTCAAAATAGTAAAATAAAGTTTGGGGAACATGTTGAAGGTAATGTATATACTTTATATCAGGCATGGGCAAACTTCGGCCCTCCAGGTGTTTTGAACTTCAACTCCCACAATTCCTAACAGCCAATCGGTTGTTAGGAATTGTGGGAATTGAAGTCCAAAACACCCGGAGGGCCGAAGTTTGCCCATGCCTGCTTTATATCATGATATTCTTTTTTGTCTGGACACCAAAAATGGGAGGACTTTATCTTGCTTGGAGAGAACAAGAGAACCAGCCGGAAAGGTCGGGGAAACAAAGATTTAGCCGCCTTGAGCCTCTAAATCAGAAGAAAAGCAAGATATAAATAAATAAAAACACCACCTTGACTGCTTGAGAGTAGCAGAATTACAGTTAGCCTTTCACATCTGCAGGTTCCACTTTTGTAAATGTGGAGGGCGGACTGTATTTAGGCTTAATTTTAAAAAACCTGTAAAAATATCACACACAATGCACACAAGGGCAGCATATCTTGAAAACCGGAGCAAAGCATTCACTAGCATCAGAGTATTGGTACGCTCTTTTGCCCCGTATGGATGTTTTCGTGTCTTTGCAGTATGGCTTTCTGTGTGAAGCACTCCCCGCACTCGTGGCATTGGTATGGCTTCTCTCCCGTGTGGGTCCTCTGGTGTCGGAGGAGGATCTCTTTCTGATTGAAGCTCTTGCCGCACTCGCGGCACGGGTACGGCTTCTCTCCCGTATGGATCTTCTGATGCCGGACCAAGGAATCCCTCCGACAGAAGGTCTTTCCACACTCTGGACACTCGTAGGGCTTCTTCCCGGTGTGGATCTTCTCGTGCCGGATGAGGCTTTCCCTCTGGCTGAAGTATTTTCCACACTGGCGGCATTTGTGCACCTTCTCTCCCGTGTGGCTGGCCCGGTGCCGGATCAACTCCTCTCTCCAATCGAAGCTCTCCCCACAATCGAAGCATGAATACATCTTCAGCTGCACGTGGATCTTCTGGTGTCTGGCAAGGTCATTCTTTCTCTGGAAATGTTTCCCACACACAGGGCAATCGTAAGGCGTCATTCCAGAATGCAGAACCTGACTGGTAACCAGTCCTGATTTGCACCGGTACCATCTCCCGCCTTTGGAGTGCCAAAACCTGCTCGCTCGGGTATGCCTCGAGGAGTCCTTCAGCGCTGAATGATTTACGGCCCTTTCTGTGGCTTCCTCCCACATCTCCGTGGGCTTCTTCTGACGCTGTCCATCAGGGGCGCAGCCTTGTTCGTGAATCTCAGCAACTAGAGAAGCCTTGCCTTGGGATATTTCCAGTGACATGCTGTACGTTTCCTCAGGCTCTGTGCTCTCTTCATGACAATTCTCCTTTAAGAGTCCCTCATCACCTACAAGGGAAAATAGAGAAAATGAGATCCAAAGAAGTAGATAATACTGATCAACACACATTTAGCCGGTCAGGTTCTGGAAGCTTTTCCACAACTCTTAAAAAGACAGTTCTAAAGGTTTCCCGCCAAACATCCCCGTATATATCATTCCCCAATCCCATATCTCTCTACTGAGCACATTCCATTACTACAGTGGTGATTCTACAGTTTTGCTTTCCCCAAGATCAGATGGTCTTGTCTATAGTGTACTCTCATTCCTCTTCCACAACCTCCCCCTCTTCATGTCATGTCACAGAGGAACGAAGCAGCTGGGGCCAGCCTGGTATGGACATCCTGATCCACTGATTCCAAAAATTGAGCAGTTTTCATTTATTGGCTCTTGTTTTTGAGATATAGAACATACGCCATCTACAGGTCACCATCTGTTGGTCCACAGAAAACCATGATAACCATATCTAAGAAACTGAAGCTGATGCGGTCCATCCAATGCAACTTTCTGAATAAGCGTCCCAAATAACCTCTGGAGCAGGCCTAAAAATAGAGACAGCAGTGGAAGCATGAGAGGTGTTGGAAGAAAAGGATACCAGTGGTTTGGCTAGATCTATTTTACTTGGTTAGACCTCACATGGAATCATAGAATCCTAGAGTTGGAAGAGACCTCATGGGCCATCCAGTCCAGCCCCCTGCCAAGAAGCAGGAAAATCGCATTCAAAACACCCTCGACAGATGGCCATCCAGCCTCTGCTTAAAAGCCTCCAAAGGAGGAGCCTTCACCACAATCTGGGGCAGAGAGTTCCACTACTGAACAGCTCTCACAGTCAGGAAGTTCTTCCTAATGTTCAGGTGGAGTCTCCTTTCCTGTAGTTTAAAGCCAATTTGTAGTTTGTTCCATGTCCTGGTCTCCAGGGCAGCAGAAAACAAGCTTGCTCCCTCCTCCCTATGACTTCCCCTCACCTCTTGATCCATGGCCCTCATCAGGTCGCCTCTCAGCCTTCTCTTCTGAAAGCTAAACTTGCCCAGCTCTTCAAGCCACTCCTCATAGGGCTTGTTCTCCAGACCCTTGATTCTTTGAGTTGCCATCCTCTGGAGACATTCCCACTTAGAGTCAACATCTCCCTTCAATTGCAGTGCCCAGGATTGGACGCATTGTGATTCCAGGTGTGGTCTGACCAAGGCAGAATAGAGCATGGGGAGTATGACTTCCCTGGATCTAGGCACTAGACTCCTATTGATGCAGGCCAAAATCCCATTGGCTTTTTTTGCCACTGTATGACATTGCTGGCTCATGTTCACCTTCCTCCCCACAAGGACTCCAAGATCTTTTTCACATGTACTGCTATCACGCCAGACATCGTTCCTTTGTGGGGGGAAAGGAAGGGGCCTGAGGCTTTTAGTAATTGTGGGAGTGAAGTCCAAAACACCTGGAGGGCCCAAGTTTGCTCATACCTGTGATAACATTTCCTTAAGTCTGGGATGGATCCCTTGGCAATCCCCACCCCAACAAGCCCTGAGGTCACTTTACCTGACATGTTACTCGGAAAAGCCTCAGTGTCTGGGATGAAAAGCATTTCTTCTTGCTCCATTTGGACCATGGGTTCAGGTTTGGGAATCACAAATCCACCTTAACAAGGAGAGGCACAGAACAACATTTGGGGACACAGCGTATTGTCATTTATAAACCAGTTAATTAATTGCCCTCCTTGAGAGATTGCCGAATCCATATATGGCAAACATTCAATGCTGTTATACAACTAACAACAAAGACAGACAGTAAATAGACAAAGGCAAGGTTTCACTCTTATTAAACTGCAGGTCCTGGCCTTAAATTGGGGTAACTAATAATTTGGCAGCATAAAAGGTTTCTGAACAACACCCATTGGCCTTAATCTGTTAGCAACAACAATGCAGCGTTTTCAGTGGACTCTGCTGCCCTGGAGACTAGGACGTGGAACAATGACTTCAAACTACAGGAAAGAAAGGAGATTCCATCTGAACATCAGAAAGAACTGGTGGTTAACCTGCTCTGCTAAAGCCCAGCCCTCTATTCAACCTATGGGCCTTCTATACAACCAATGACCCCTTCTTATTACCTCCATTTTTGTCCCATTGAAAATAATCAGGTTCATGATTATCCACAGATTCAGATATTCATGCAGATCCTGGGAATGTGCCGTACTGTAATTCAGGGTTCCTTAAAGCTTTCTTCATTCATGATCTCTTTCTATCTGAGAAATTTTTACATGACCCCAGGTATATAAAATAGGTATCAAATAAAATATTTACTGATAATAAATCAACATTTGCAAGGCTTGCTAAATCATAGAATCATAGAATTGGAAGAGACCTCATGGGCCATCCAGTCCAACCCCATTCCGCCGAGAAGCAGGAAAATCTCATTCAAAGCACCCCCGACAGATGGCCATCCAGCCTCTGTTTAAAAGCCTCCATAGAAGGAGCCTCCACCACACTCTGGGGCAGAGAGTTCCACTGCTGAACAGCTCTCACAGTCAGGAAGTTCTTAGATGGAATCTCCTTTCCTGTAGTTTGAAGCCATTGCTCCGTGTCCTAGTCTCCAGGGCAGCAGAAAACAAGCTTGCTCCCTCCTCATATATATATGAAATTATACTTTAAAAATGTACCTGTTCTGACTTGTATACAAATTCAACTTAAGAACAAACCTACAGAAAACTGCCTGTATGTTGGTTCCATAGATAGGAGGGACAAAAATAATTTCAAATGTAGAGGCATTTTCCCATGATAAAATCATTAGTTGTCTTCTCTCTTCCTCATTGGGAAGGACTTACCCAAACAACTGATGTTCTCCGGCATGACTTCCCAATGCATCGTTCCTTGCCTGGGGTTTAACGCTGACCATTCGGTGCTGTCCACAGACACTGCGACATCATTCAGATTCACAGTCCCCTGAAACACACATACACAGCAGATTGTCATTAACCAGAACAAGTCTGAAGTCTAATCAAGTAAAAATGAAGGGGTGTCTACTATTGTGGTAATGGGAACTGTTTCTCAGCCTAGTGGTCAGGACCCCTAGGGGGGTCGTGCGGGGGTGTCAGAGGGGTCGCCAAAGACCATCAGAAAACACTGTATTTTCTGTTGATCATGGGGATTCTGTGTGAGAAGTTTGGTCCAATTCTATTGTTGGTGTGGTTCAGAATGTTCTTTGATTGTAGGTGAACTCTAAATCTCAGCAACTACAACTCCCAAAATCTCAAGGTCTATTTTCCCCAAACTCCACCAGTGTTCCCATTTGGGCATATTGAGGATTAGTGCCAAATTTGTTCCAGATCCATCATTGTTTGAGTCCACAGTGCTCTCTGGATGTAGGTGAACTACAACTCCAAAACTCAAGGTCAATACCCACCAAACCGAGTATTTTCTGCTGGTCATGGGAGTTCTGTGTGCCAAGTTTGGTTCAATTCCATCATTGGTGGAGTTCAGAATACTCTTTGATTGTAGGTGACCTATAAACTACAACTCCCAAATGACAACATAAATCCTCACAACCCCACCAGTATTCAAATTTGGGTGTATTGGGTATTTGTGCCAAATTTGGTCCAGTGAATGAAAATACATCCTGCATATCAGACATTTACATTACGATTCAAAACAGTAGCAAAATTACAGCTGTGAAGTAGCAACTAAAATAATTTCATGGTTGGGGGGTCACCACAACATGAGGAAGTGTATTAAGGGGTCGCGGCATTAGGAAGGTTGATTTTCAGAGATAACATTTTAAAATCAAGTCTGTGTATAATCAACTCTGTAAAAATCAAAACCAAAAAAAGTAGCACAACTCTATTTGAAATACTGTTATTTCTCCTTTCAAAATAATTTCAGAATGTTTTTAATAATTTTTGTTTAGGTTTTAATCAGTTTTGTAGATTGAGTTAGTTGCCTTGGGTCCCATTTGGGGAAAGAAGGTTGGCATATACATAAAATAAATAATATGCAAATCAATAAACAAATAAATGTTGAGCAAGCAGGACAGAAGAGGCAATACTGTATTTCCCCAGTTCTAAGAGGCACTTTTCCTCCCCATATAAACATCTCTAAAAATGGGATGTGTCTTAGAATTATGAGTGAGTGTTATAATGATTAATATAATATAATATAATATAATATATATAAAATTTATATATATAGGTAAAGGCAAAAGTTGTCCCCTGATATTAAGTCCAGTCATGTCTGACTCTGGGAGTTGGTACTCATCTCCATATCTAAACCAAAGAGCTGGCGTTGCCTGTAGACACCTCCAAGGTCATGTGGCCAGCATGACTGCATGGAGTGCCGTTACCTTCCCATCAGAGTGGTAACTATTGATCTACTCACATTTACATGTTTTTGAACTGCTAGGTTGGCAAAAGCTGGGGCTGACAGCAGAAGCTCACGCCGCTCCCCGGATTCAAACCTACAACCTTTTGGTCAACAAGCGACCTCAGCAGTTCAGGCAAGGCTTCCCTCTTTTCATTTCCGGCATCCAGCTGTGCTTGACTCGGCCATGGGGAGGTGCTATTGTATCATTTGTCATGGCAAGGATGCTTTTCCTGGTCAGATTTTTGCAGGCATGTGTTTCAGGGCACCTTCTACCTCCTTGCCAAAGCAGTACCTATTTATCTACTTACACTATTGTTTTCAGACTGCTAGGTAAGCAGAAACTGGGCTGACGGTGGGAGCTCACCCCAACCATGGCTTGAACTGCCGACCTTCCGGTCAGCAGGATCTTCTATAACAGGCAGTTTAGCCCACTGTGCCCATGCATTGTTATGCATTTGTTTTGCGTTGTTTTGGTAGTACAGATATTACTATGCATCTTACAACCAATAATAATAACAATAATAATAATAATCATCATCATCATCTTTATTTATACTCTGCCACCATCTCCCCGATGGGGACTCGGAGTGGCTTACATGAGGCCAAGCCCAAACAACAATTACAGCAAAGTAAAACCGAAAACGCAAACTGAAGACGCGAGCAATAAACAACACCATAATTACATAAAACATGTGAATACATAACAATATAAAATTATAATAACAATGACAATGGGCGGGCTACATGTAATGATTAAAAGAAAAACTAATCAGAAACTAATTAAAAACTAATTAAAACTAATTAAAAACTAATTAAAAACTTGGGCGAGATAAAAGAGATAAAACCAATGCCATTAAAAGTAGAACCATAGCTCTTTTCCTGCAGTTTCAAGCTACAGATACATAGTATTTCTAACCCAGAGAGTAGAACTGCATAGAGAACTATGACAAAAGGCAGCATTTTGCAAAAATTCAGTCTCCGCATCACTTCAATTGCCTTTAATTTTGTGATCTATCAAATGCACCTCCTCTTAGACTCCAAATGCACGTCTTGAAAAGACTCCAACACAACATCACATACCTTCAAAAGGCCAGCCTGGGCCATTTCTTCTTCAGGGGGCAGCACTGAACCACTGGCTGTGAAGGAGAGAGGAGGATATGGATGAAGAAGGGTCATCGTGGATATCTTTTGCCTACACCAGGGATGGGCAATATATAGCCTTATGGATATTGCTGGATTGTAACTCCCATCATCCCTCAGCAATGATAGCTATGGCTTTTGGGAACTGAAATCCAACAACGGGGTTTTTTCAAGGATTTCTCCTTGGATTTCTTTGAGAGCATCCCAATCCTTGCAGATTTCCAATCTCCTATTCCTGGACTGCTATTCCCAGCAATCCTCCAGATAGATAGATAGATAGATTAGATAGAGATAGGTAGGTAGTAGATAGATGATCAGGAGGACTGCTGGGAGTTGCAGTCCAAAGATAAGTAGAGAAGGAAGAAAAGGGAGAAGGGAAAGAAAAGGTGGGGAGGAAGGGAAGAGGAGGGGAGGAGGAAGGAAAGAGGAGAAGAAGGAAGAAGGAAGAGAAAGAGAGAAGAAGAAGAAAGAAAGGAAGGGAGGAAGGGAGGGAGAGGAGGAGGGAAGGAAGAAAGGAAGGAGAGAAAGAAAGAAGAGAAAGAGGGAGGGAAGGTTAGCCATAGCAATGCGTGGCAGGTACAGCTAGTAAATAATAAATAAATAAGTCAATGGATCCTCACCTATCAGACGAAGATCCCCATCAACCTTCTCCTTGGCTTCTGTGGAGAGTTGTCTCTGAAGGGTCCCCTCTACTTTTGAGTTCATAGGCACTTCTTCCAATGGCACCTGAAAGAGACATGGAGCGTCATAGTTAGAAGATAAAAAAACACACAGAACAGGGTAAATTGCAAAGGTGAAAGCACTAATGTTCTTCATTGTTGAATTCATGCAGTTTGTCAAAAGTGGTGCCAAACTGCATTTGTTCTTTTTGGGGGAAAAATGCATTCATAACCTTTTTTGAAAAGGAAAAATGATGTCATCTCCTTTTGGCAAATGTGAATCTCTATGAACATCTGGAGACCACCTTCTGAAAACCACTAGTCAAGGAAAGGCATGCCCTTGTTAGAAGTTAATCCTTTGAAAAAGTGATATTCACAAGCTTTCGTGTAATGATCATCTGGGGAGGCCCTGCTCTCTGTCCCGCCTGCATCACAGGCGCGCTTGGCGGGGACGAGAGACAGGGCCTTCTCAGTGGTGGCCCCTCGGCTGTGGAACGCCCTGCCTGCAGATATCAGATCGGCCCCCTCCCTGCTGGCGTTTCGGAGGAAAGTGAAGACCTGGCTGTTCAAACAAGCATTTGATTAAACAGTGTAATTGAACATAGGAATATGGAATAATGGATGATGAGACTGGATTCTGATTTTACTGTTGAGGCGCTAATGATTGTTATATGGATGTTTAATGATTTATGTTACAATTGTTTTTAATTGCCCTATACTTGTCTCGTGATGTTTTGTATCGATGTTGTTCACCGCTTTGAGTCTCCTGAGGGCTGAGAAAAGCAGTATATAAATAAAGTAAATGAATGAATGAATAAATAAATAAATAATGGCACACAGGTAGTTCAGCTGTTAAAACTGATAAACCATGTCTTTGAACTGCTAGGGACAAAGACATGCCACTGCACAAAAAAACATATATTTGATTTGCAGAGTTTTAAAAATGTTTCTTTGAAATTGAAGTTGAACTTGGAGTTGCCCAAAACATATATTCTCCCTTGTAACCCCTTAGTTTAAAATACGCACTCAGCGACAAAACAACAAAGTCTTCCTTAAAAAGTAAGGCATCTTGTTTACTCACAAACACCTTGAATTAATTCAGCATACAGGGACATTTCTTATTATATTTCAGTTATAAATAGGATGTACTTTCTCTGTGTTGAGAATGCAGGGTATAATTCTTAATCAATAGTCCCTAATCCAAAGTCTTTAAGTATACAGTGTTCCCTCATTTATTGCGGGTGTTCCGTTCCAGGACCACCCGCAATAAGTGAAAATCTGAGAAGTAGGGACACTATATTTATTAATTTACTATATTTGTATACCGCCTTTCTCAGCTCTCAGGTGGCACAGTGGGTTAAACCCCTGTGCTGGCAGGACTGAAGACCGACAGGTCGCAGGTTCGAATCCGGGGAGAGGCGGATGAGCTCCCTCTATCAGCTCCAGCTCCTCATGCGGGGACATGAGAGAAGCCTCCCACAAGGATGATAAAAACATCAAATCATCCGGGCGTCCCCTGGGCAACGTCCTTGCAGACGGCCAATTCTCTCACACCAGAAGTGACTTGCAGTTTCCCAAGTCGCTCCTGACACGACATAAAAACATAAATCATTTGCGTCTCCTAATTAAAACATTATTTAGTCTCATCATCTAGTCGTTCCATACTCCTATGTCTATTACATTGCATTTTCAAGTGCTTGCTCAAACAACCAAGTCTTGACTCTTTTCCGGAATGTTAAGAGGGAGAGGGCCGATCTAATGTCCCTAGGAAGAGTATTCCATAGCTGAGGGGCCACCACTGAGAAGGCCCTGTCTCTCGTCCCCGCCAAACGTATTTGTGACGCAGGCAGGATTGAGAGCAGGACCTTCCCAGATGATCTTGAAGTCCTAGCAGGCAGATAAGGAGGGGTGCGTTCGGACAGGTAAGTTGGGCCAGAACCATTTAGGGCTTATTAATTTTAACCATAGCCTGAGGTGCGGTGGGGAAGGCCTGCCTACCTGGCCTCCGCAGACCCCAGCAGAGCAGTGGGGAAGGTCTGCTGCTGCTGCCTGAGTGGCTCCGGAGGTTTCTGGGGTACACAAAGGCCTAGGAGGCAGGCCTTCCCCTCCACGCTTCAGGATCCCGGAAGGCAAGCGGAGCCGGCAGAGGGACTTCCGGCCCACACACCAGTCTCCCTTTCTGAGGCCCATTGTAATGTCCATAAACGTTTTATATTTTATATTAATATTTACAGAAATCCGCGAAACTTCAAGTCCACGTAAAGCGAACATTGAAGTAGCGAGAGAACACTGTACATTGAATGAAACCCCAAACTGTATAACTGTACTCACTGCTTTTCAAAGCAAACATAGAGTAAACTGTTACTGCATAATTCCAAATGCAATCTGCATCCACTGATGTCCAAAAGCATACTGCATCCATGTCCATGGAGGTCTAAAGCGAACTGCTAACATTGAAGTCCAGAAGCATACTAATAACCAAATTGAGTCTTGAGTCTGAACATGCTCAGTACATGCCTGTAGCCCCTCCCACACCAAAGAGGTACAGCCAAAGTGGAAAAATCAATATACAGTATACATACAATACAGGTTAGCAAATATATACATTAACAAACAAATAGGGAAGGCTTGGAAAGTTGCTATTTCCAACAATTCTAGAGCAGTCATGGGCAAACTTTGGCCCTCCAGGTGTTTTGGACTTCAACTCCGACAATTTCTAACAGCCAACAGGCTGTTAGGAATTGTCGGAGTTGAAGTCCAAAACACCTGGAGGGCCAAAGTTTGCCCGTGCCTGTCCTAGAGTGTAGCTGCACCCTAAATCTCCCAAGTCCCAACTCCACTTTCTATCAGTTACATACACACTCTGTCTCACCTGCCATTCCCAATTCTTGTCCCCTTGGGCTCCTACCAGGAACTCCGTCATTGCCACCGTTTCAGCGCCGCTCTCCGCGCCCCACGATTTGATCCGACTCCGGACGCCTTGGGGTAAGATGGCCAGAAACTGCTCCAGGATCAGCAGCTCCAGGATCTGCTCCTTGGAGTGCCTCTCCGGCTTCAACCACTGGTGGCAGAGCTCCCGGAGGTGCCCGTAAACGCTCCGCGGGTCCTCCACCTCCTGGTAGCGGAACTGCCGGAAGTGCCGGCGCAGCGCCTCCATCCCGCTGGCTTCCCTGCGCAAGATGGCAGCCTTCACTTTCTCATAGTCTTCCTTGTCTCCCATTTCCAGGTCACCGAAGGCCTCTTCAGCTTCTCCGCTCAACGCGGGCAAAAGCCGGGCCACCCACTCTTTCCTTGGCCACCGGCAGGCTTCGGCCACTTGCTCGAAGGAGGCCAGGAAAGCCTTGGCATCGTCCCACGGCCCCGGCTTTGACGATCCAGAGCAATGGCAATCTTGTGCCTTCAGGAACTCTTGGCATTGGGCTGGCCATGTTGGCGGAAACCCATCGAGGGGCTGATGCTTGCCATTTTGCGGTGCTGCTCGTCCCGGCAATTCCTTTAAGCACCTCGCCTTCACAACGTGCGGAGCCTTCCCTGCAGCTTCCAAACCCTCCTCCATTATGAATTCTCTTTTTCAGAAAGGGAGATTTCGGCACCCCACTTGTAGTCCGATCACCTTGATGTCGAAAGACAAGATAATTTTGGCTACGAACCGTTCAGTTCCAAGTGACCAACTCTACATCATCTTGCCTCGCCTTTTCGCCAAGAACAGTAAGCAGGGCTGATCCCTAAAGAGGAAAAAAAGAAAGAGAGAATCACAGAATCATAGAATAACAGAGTTGGAATATATTTTTTGTGTGTGTCAGGAGCGACTTGAGAAACTGCAAGTCACTTCTGGTGTGAGAGAACTGATTTATTTATTTATCGTGTCAGGAGCAACCTGACAGTTGTATTACTTTTTTAACAAAACAAACATACAAACAGACAGACAGAATGCAAAGTTTGCAAGCTTGGTAGTTGATTAAACGTCCTTTGACCGGTATCTGGCCACTTGGAGTGCCTCTGGTGTTGCCGCAAGAAGGTCCTCCATTGTGCATGTAGCAGGGCTCAGGTTGCATTGCAGCAGGTGGTCAGTGGTTTGCTCTTCTCCACACTCGAGAGAACTGATGTCTGCAAGGATGTTGCACAGGGGACCCTATCCAATTCTGAATTTCTTTTTGTTCCACAGGGTTTCCATCCTCTGTATATAGATCCTCTACTAACCTTTTCCCTCTACTTTCAATTAATCTCAATGTTCTGCCTATAATTTCATCATTATTATAATTCATTTGCCATATAGTTGCCATCTTATTCTCATTGCCTGGATTTAACTTCTTCTTTCTTTTTTTCCACACTTTTACTGTTCCTTTAAAGGGTTCCTTAAGTTCTGTTTCCTCTCTCCTCTTCCATTCCCTAAATATTATTTCTTTTCCTTTAATATTATTTATTATCTTCTCCATATTTACCCATTTTTTTTCCGTATACTGTATTTCCAGCAATCTTTGGATTTGAAATGCATCGATAAACTTCCAGACTTGGGATCCCCCAGACTCCCTCTTCCTCTTTTGCATTTAACCATTTGTCCCTTATTCTGGATCTTTTCCCTCCAACTGCCCATTTTCTTTTTTTTCTATCCCCGTCTTCCCCTTCCTCTCTACGCGACTAAGAAACGGGGGGGCGAAGGATGGAAAGAGAGAGGGAGGCGGGGAGGGGA